TTCAGTTTGCGTTTTGCTTTCAGCTGTTTCTGCTTAGTTAGCTTTTAATAATAGTTAGAAATGACCCAGACTATTGGCCTATACCTTGACTGTTCTTTCTTGACTTGCACAGGCAGCCGGGGCACAGTCAGCCGGGGATACAGGCAGCCGGGGGTACAGGCAGCCGGGGCACAGGCAGCCGGGGCTCCTGTCTTGTTGCTGATGAGGCAGGCCGGGAGAGGACCCAGGGGCCACAGAGTCCCTGAGCCAGACAACCCTTCCCGCCTCAGACTGGTCACTCTGTGTCTCCGCCTGGCTGCCCTGTCCTCCCTCAGGGCTCACTGGCCTCCTCCACACTGCAGCCAGGCTCATGGTGGGAAGCCCTGAGCCTCCCAGCCAGCTCCGCCTCCAGGCGACCTGGGGTGAAGTGGGCAGGGTGCAGCGTGTCCTGCACAGGTCCTGCTCAGCCCTGGAGCACAGCTCCGCAGTGAGATAAGGTGGGAAGTGAGGGACCCACAGAGGACCCCCAGAGCCCACCTGGGGATCCAGGAGAGACGGGTCCTGTCCCCCCAGCCTGCCCATCCCCTGCACCCCTGTGCCCTGCAGACCTGGCCAGACCCCAGCCCTGAGCGACCCAGGCCCATCTGAGCAGGAGGTGGCCAGGGGCTCAGTGTCCTGGAGGGGCTGCAGCCAGGACAGGAGGCCCCATCCCCCAGTCCTGCCCACGGTGTGCAGATCCCGCAGTGTCCAGGTGCCCAGCTGTGGTCCTCTGCCCGCCCACGCCAGCCCCTCACCTGCTGCCTGCTGCTCTGCTCCTGCTTCTGCTCCCCGGGTGCCTCCCGCCAGGGCTTTCTCTGCTCCGCCCAGAAGAAAACTGAAAGAGCCCAGGGGGAGGGGCCAGGGAGGAGGCAGGTCTCGTGCGTGCCAGGGGACTGTGCTAAGCAGGGAGGAGACCCTTCTGGGAAGCCACTGGGTTTCGGGAAGTGTGCCATGTCCTCAGAACGTGCCACCTTCTTGGTAGTGCTCTTGCCAAGGCTGATTGTCAGAGCCGTGCACTGCAAAGCCTGTGGGGGGCAGGGGAGACGCCCTCCAGCAGAGCCGGGCAGGACGTCCCTTGCCCAGGGCTCAGGGCTGCTCCTCTCCAGGCATCAGGGCCAGCGGGGTCCCCCAGTGCCCTGGGTGAGCTGTGTGGCTGCTCAGGATCCACCAGGCGCCTCAGGGCTGAGGCTGGGGGAAAGGCAGGCCCTGTCAGGCAGTGCTGGGGGTGTGGCAGGCGCAGGCAGCTGGGTGGACAGCAGGGGTGTTGTGTGGCATGACCGTCACCTGATGGAGATTCTCGTCCATAATTGTATTTGTGTGTGAACTACATTTATTGTTCTTTTTTTTTTTTATGTTGAACCCACCTTGCATCCCTGGGATGAAGCCCACTTGATCATGGTGTGTTATCTTCTTCAAGTTTTTTTTTTTAGCTGTAGATGGACACAACACCTTTACTCTATTTATTTATATG